AAATTAGCTGGGCGTGGTGGGGCAAGCCTATAGTCTCAACTACTCAGGAGGCCAAGGCAGGAGGATTGCTTGAGCCCAGGAGTTTGAGGCTGTAGGGAGCTTGATGAGCTCACTGCACTCTAGCCTGGGCAACAGAATAAGACCCTGTCTCAAAATGCAAACAAAAAAATATTTTTCACCTGCTTACTCTCAAGTAATATGAGAGGTGTCAGGGATAAAAGACAAGGGGCCTGCCGCCAAAGAATTCACAGTTAAAGGGAAAGAAATAGACGTAAACTACTGCAAGGTAGTGTGCTATGCTATTCCATGAAAAGCATGAGCTATTGCAGAAGCACAGATATTAGTTATATAGTCATAGAAGAGTAGGTGGGCAGACAGATAACTGCATGGATGGTGGGAGAGAAACTGAATGGATGGCGGAGGGCACACACACATGGTGACTGGACAGGTAAAGACACTTCAATATATAAAAGCAGTATAGTTGGGAAGAGAGAAAATAGTTCATCAATGATACCACAAAGTACTTTAGAATTAACTTCATAAAAAAGTCTTAAAATGTCATAGTTGATGAGCATTACTTTAAATGTCAGCTCATGTAGTGACTTATCACAATGCAATGAGATAGATTATACATTACAGGTTTTACCAGTATTCCTCTCCTTTGTATATGCCTACCACTGCTACCTGATGCATCTGTCTACTCCCATCACCTAAAGTTGTCCATCAGAAAGGACAAATAAGGATGCAGGACATAGTTCAAAGAACTTGTGTGCCGGCTTATCCAAGAGCCTCTAAATTACTAATCTTTATATTATCAGCTCCTATAGACAAAACTCTGTATTAGCAGGCTGCCAGAAAGAGAGAAAAGTATCATGGGTACAGAACTATTGTGACAACTGGTTAAGGAATTTCATTTTCTAAAAGAAAATCCCCTCCAATTAAAGGATTCTTTTCTCTCTTGATTGCTATATACCCATCATAGACTGAAGAAATTATTTTACCTTGCA